GAACCTATGTTTGTAGGCTTACTATCACAAAACAGATAATAAAATCATTCGCTGTATTTAACGCATAGGTAAAATACTACAGTATCATTAAGTTCTTACTTTTTTGTTGAGATAATGAATATTTGTATTTTAATTACTAATATTTAGACTAACAAAATCAATGGATATTATCTTAAGATAATGGTATAAACTATTTATAATAATATTATATCAACACATTATTCTTAAAACAAAAATCCAAACTTAAAATTTCATTTTATATCAAAGTTTCTCTGTAAATTAAAAAATTTATTATCTTATTATCACAAAAAAAAAATAATATAATTTTACAAGACTACCAGAATAAATGTTTAATTATGAACACACAAATGAAAATCTTTTTATTTCAGAGTTACCGAGAGGTATGGACAGCCAACAAAGTTGCAGAAGAATTTTAATTAAGATAAAAGAATACCTTGATTACTTTGTAGAATATTTAGTATCAGTATATTTTTGGTTTTTGTTAGCAAAGCATTAACAAAACAAAACAGTCTTCTTCCTATTTTCTAGTATTACTTTCTTTAACCTTGAAAATTTTAAAAAACCAATCAAAATATTTTCATTCAAATCGAAGAAAAATCATAAATTTATCTATCAATCTTCTCTATTTGTTATCTAATTTAGTATTTTTATTAGAGAATCTAATTTTTTATAAACGAATTTTTGGTTTTAATTTTCTCAAATGAAGTGAACAACAAAATAAATCAAACATATGATAAATTATCACAAATAATTTTTGTATGATTTACGGTATAATCATCACTTTTTGTTTATTGATGCTAGTATTTTACAATTTGATAAGAATATTTGAATATATAAGAAGAGGAGGATTGTTTTTTGTGTTATGGATCTTTTGGCTTATAGTCAATGAAGTGTAGATGTTCTTTTGACTAATTTTTATGATTCTTATTCAAGATATTTGTTTTGTTTGATTGGATGTTATGTAGTATTTGAATCAAAAAAGTTTTACCGCAATCTTTTATATAATACTACCTCTAAAAGTTTTTTTTCAAATTCTATCACAAATTTTAAAAATGATTTTTGTTTTGTTTGTTTTATGGAGGATGCGTCTTGAAAAATTAGGTTATTTTTGGAAGGGGAATATCGAATTTTCACAATTATATTTTCGATATTAATTTTTATTATACGAGAGATAATGTTAGAAAAGAAGGTTTGATGAATTAAATAAATTAAATCTTCTTATCTTTTTAAATAATACAATAAATAAAAATTTTTTATAAAATTTAACTAAGAAAAGTAATTTGTTAAAAATATAATTGAATTGATCAATAATAATTTACCAGTATAAATATAAATAATTTTTTATAATAAGTTTTACCTGTTCAGATTAAATACAGCTTTAAAAAAGTAAGTTTTTTATTTAAATCATATTTAATTTGAAAAAAGTAATTAATCATATTTTTTAAAATATATACTTAGTCCGATCAGGTAATAATTATTTTAAAAAAACTATTGATTTTCAAAAATAAAAAAACAACTGTTTTTTGATTTTATTCTTAAAAAAGTTTAAGATTTTTTAACATTTACCCTAAAAAAAGTGCAAAAGAAGTTTTCCTAAATATAAAAATTCGTATTCTTTAAAAAGTATACCTACGACTGTACACAGTTTGTATAGTTACACCTATTTTTTTATAAATAACAATAAAAACAAAACAGAATAACAATTTAAATTTAAGAATCCACACTGCTAGAAAATATAGTATTTTAGTAATTGGTTTTTTGCTTCCCAATGTAAAATTAAATGAATCTTTAAAAAATTTAGTAAGTTCGTAGAAAACTTTAATTCAATGAATATTTAAATGGATTTATTAATAATGTAAAATTGTAATATGATGAAATAAAAGATAAATATTAGGAAAGATTAACTTTGATAAAATTACAAAATTTAAAATAAACACAGTTGTAGCAGACAATGAAAAAATCAATATAAAACAAAGGATAATCATTAACACAGGTTCTACTATGATAAAACTCTTGGCATTTTTTGTTTTTAAGTGGATTGATAAAAAGCAATACTAATCATGCATTCTTAGATTTTAATGCCTTATGAACAATCAAATGCTTTTTGAGATGTTTTTCATCATTTCGTATAGCCAGGTAGTACTATAAGAGCAATGGGTTAGTCAAGTTAACCTAATGCTACAAGAGAATTTGTATTATAACACAAAATTGTAAATTATACCAAAATTACAGGAATAAACTGTAACAGATAGCAAACGCAATAAAAATGTTAAGTCACTTCAAAAAGTAAAATATAATGTAATATTTAGATTAAGAAAATAAATAATATTTCTTAAATAAATTTTCTAAAGGTTATGGATTGCGAAAAATAGAAGTGTGAGATATATATGATTTAAAAATTTATTAATAGGTTAAGGTTTGATTTAAATATTTTAATAATAAATATATTATCACCAGTTATCAAATTTTCTTTAAACAATATTTTTAGAATTATTGATTTATCCTTTCCTGCTCTTTTTTGAGAAAGTAAAGATGGGTGTTAAGGCATAAAGCCATGGTAAATTATTATTTATTTTAAAATCATATTTCTTTCTACTTATCAAATTTATTTGCTTTGTTAAGTAAACATACATAAATTCAAAATAATATTTAAAACAATTTTGTTAAAATATTTAATTAATAAATTTATTTCCTTATATTTATTTAATAAAAATAATTTAGTCTATCATATTTGTTAGTGTTATAATAAAGGATATGTTTAAAATGTTTATTTATTATATTTAATTTAAAAATATAAATTATTTTATGTTTTATTTATTTTCTTTAATTATTTTAGAAATAATTTAAATATTTATTTTTTGTTTAAACTTAAAAAAATATTTATTTAGTAAAATTACCCTGAAATGAAATTAACTGAATTATTCGAAATAAATTTGACAAATTACACCTCAATTTTCTCATACATAAAATCATCTTACTCTCCCGAAAGAAAAGACATCATAGAAACATTGGTAGATTCACTTATAAACCTACCAAACAGATCAGAATTGACAGCTACCTTAATAAACCAGTTAGCCAGAGAAGACATTTTGTTCAAATTAAATTTTGTAAAAAGATTAAGTGAATTGGAAATATCAAACGAAAATGAGTTAATATGTTTAGGTATCAGTTTAAATTATTTAGAATTTAAAGATGAAGAATTTTTTATGAATTTTTACAAAAAGTATTTTTCGGATTGGGCTGAATTTACTAATTTTATTAAGTATTCTAAGTTTGAGATCAAAAATACAAAAAATGATTTGGTAGTAGACCAAGAAAAGTTGAATGAACAAAGTGATTCAATGCTTTTTAGCGAACAAAGTTATAATTTGATAAATTGGGATACTTTAAATATTAAAAAAGACCTTTTCTTAAGTAATAAGACAGATATTTACACAACACTTTTTAGGATAATTATAGAAAATACAAAAATGTAATCCTCAAGAATGTTACAAACAAATCTTAACTTTAGCCAACCAATCAAATTTAATAAGCTTAGTAAAAGCATTTGATCAATTTCAGTCCAAGAATTGCATCTAATTTTTTATTAGCAGAAATAAAGATTTTTTAAAGATCTTTTAAAAAATTGTCCCGACAAAAAAGTGTTATGCTTCTTATTTGAGAATTTTTATAACAAAAATGGTAGTAGAATCAACGAAATAGAAGAAATTTTCTTGTTTAAGAAATTGATAGATGAAAGTGTTTGGGAATATTTTACAATTTTTAGTTTAAAAAAAGATTTAGAAGAATTTTTTGAGACCACTTTACCGGATGAAAAAATTAACAATGAAACAGAAGAATATTTTTTATCATTAGGTAATAAACTTATTAGAGAAAAGATAAATCATTTTTTTACACAGTTTTGTATGAATAGTAATCAGTCAATCACACATTTTTTGATTAATTTGGAAAGATTTTCTTCTTTATTTGATTTGAGTGAAGAAGAACAGTTTCTTTTTGCGGAAAGTTTGGTTGAGGTTTTTGATAAGAAAAGTTCTTTTTAAGTGTTATTGTTAATAAGATTGTTAAGTTTAATATTATAAATGAGAGTGTTTTATAAGAAAGTATTTTTTGTGATTTAAATAAATAAAGAATTTCTTATTTTTTTATAAAAGAGGTAAATAAGTTATGAAAATTTATAACAACATTATTTCTGCGTAGTATATTAATGTATATGATACAAAGAAATTTATTTTACTATAAAAAACATAATTAAACAAAATAAATTCTAGGTATTATACTTATATAGAAGGTATAGCGAAAGATCTTCGTATGGATTTTTTTATCCCTAGGCAACAAAAAATAAATAAATTAACTAACATTAAAAACAAAACAATAAGAAATCATTCATTAAATAATTACTAGCTCTTTTAAGGATATTTTTTAATTTATCTTCGTATAGTATGTTTATAGATATATTTTAATCTTCTACCCAAAAAGCATTTTTTTGATAATTCAAAATTTTTACAGCAGAAGATTGGAGTGATAGTATTGTTTTCAAGATTGTATTCAATGCAGATATCCTAATATAGAAGTAAAATCTTTACAAAATTGAAGTAAACCTATGACCAAGAGAAATTATTTTTTCTTTATTACTTATTTTTAATAAATAAAAAAAAAGTTATTTAAAAATCGGAAGAACAAACTTAATTTGTAAATTAAATTATAAGACTTTTATATTTAACTAGTGTTATATTCTGTTTAGTTATCATTTTAAATTTTCTTGTTTTTAGTGTATGATGTTTGTAAAAAATTGATACAAATATTTTATGACTATTGAAATATTCTTTTTTTGTAACAAATTAATATTTAAATATAAAGTAATGAAATGTATTATTCTTTATTTTAATAACTTGTATCCTTTTTTACAATTAAATTATACACTTTTTATTACCATTAAAATACTATCTTGATATTATCTATTTATATTTCAATCATAAGCCCTTGTAGTGTAGTGGTTATCACGTCTCCTTTTACACGGAAAAGGTCCCCGGTTCGAACCCGGGCGAGGGCATTTTTTCAGTTATTTTTTTATACAAAATTTTTTTTAATTAATTTTTTAAAAATTAATATTTTTATTAATCCTTTATGGATGTAAATTATTTAAAATCTTATTTCTTCATAATACTATTAACCTTCATACTTGGTAACTTATTTTTCTTTGTTCTTTATTTTTCTAACAAATATTTCAAAATAAAGAGAAAGTCTTGTATTAAAAAAATAAGAGATTTGACTGACGAAGACGATCCAAGGAAATGTGTGCTTTGCTCATCAAGGCCGGGAAACCCAGTACTAACACTGTGTGGCCATACATACTGTCTTAACTGCTATAATGTCTATTTTAAGAATATTGGTGATACATATTATTGTATTTCTTGCCGTGATTTTTTACATGTAAATGATTTTATACCATTTTATCCTGGTTCTTTCGATACAAATGATATTCTAAGAGAAGAAAAAAGACCAATTTTAAATAACATTTTAGAGAAAAATCAAAAAGAACTAATTAGGCGTAGAAGTTTATTGTTAGGTTATGTGATTGATAAATATAATAGGATACCACTTAAAATTGCTGTACCTAATCAGAATGACCATAATTATTTTAAAAAATATCAGTTGTATTTGGTAATTGGTTCTGTGTTTTGTTTATTTTGTTTATCATAAAAAATGAGAATTTTTGATGAGACAAATGATTTTAAAAATTAATAAAGTAATTTATTTTTTCTGTTAAATTTAAGGTTCTAATCAGATATTTTATATTTTGAATAAAGTAAAATTGTAATTAATTTACATGATTAGTAATTTTAATTGACCAGAAATAAATATATTTATAATTTTTAATTGATTTGGTTTTTTTTTTGCGATTCTTTCTTGAAGCATTTTTTTGTTTAATTTTGTAACCAAATATTAGAGGTAAAGGTATATTAAGACAATCAATATGATACCAGGTAAGTTTAGCATCTAAAAAGCCAAAGTATATAGAAAATAAACTCAGTTGTATAGAAACATGTTTTACTTTATGTTTCTTGATTAGAAAACTTTATAAAATTCAGGGAAATTTTAGATCTTTATATAAATTTCTGCATCTCCGGCTAAAAAAATCCTTAGTTGTTAATATTTCTTGATAAATCATTTTTCATAAAGAATGTTTTAGATTTTTAACTAAAGATCATTAATATATCAAAATATTGTGATTAGATGTAGCATAACTGAAACCAAATTAATTAAACAAACCAACAGATACATTTTGAATTTTTTCTTTTTTAAAAGGAATTCAGGATAGAAAGCCATTAATATTTATTGATGAGCTAAAACACTTTTAAGAAAATTGATTAATCTTTTTTCAAAGACAAACAAAATTGCGCCGTAAGCTAAAAAAGATAAATCGTATTTTAAAATGTCTTTTCATTTTTTTGTTGCCTAGGAATGGGAAATCCATACGAAGGTTTTTATGCCTTTTCATAAGCATATCAAAAAGATGAAAAAATATAGCACACTAGAGAGGATAGAAGAAACGTATTGAGTGTACAAGTGACATTATTGTAATTTAAGATAGAATAATAAAATACTACTTAATTGAAAGAATCAGACAATTTGATACATAAACTCAAATTTTAGAATTAAAAAATCAGAAGATACCATTCAATTTTCATATGATATTACATTAAATTATGTTATTAAATCAATAAACATTAAAAAATAACCAATTACTAGAAAAACACAAAGATAAATAGATATAATTATTCTTTATTTCTCTATTTGATTCATTTCATAAATTTTAAGACAACTTAAATGAAAAAATTTAAAACAAATAATTTTTATGAGATGAATATTAAGTCAAATAAGATTTAAAATTTTATAAATTGAACTATTTTTTTATAGAATAAAATATCATCTTAACATCCAAAAAATATTTGTTTTGATTTTAATAAAAAATAAAGGTTGTATTAGAAGATTTGAGAAATTAAAAATGAACAATAGAAGGATCAACTAAATCTTTTAGAAGAATAAAAAGAACTTTATACTTCTTTTAAGATTTATAAATAAAACTACATTCTTATATTATTATTTCTTAAAAATACAATGTTTTTACACTGCTACACTTAAATTCTTCTAATAATTATTATTTTCTTAATTATTTGATATTATATTTTAAAATATATTATACTCTTAATCAAAAATCAAAATTTTGTAATTTTTTCATACCAATAATCAAGAAATAAAAGTTTATTTTTATTTACTTTCATTCAAGAATAAATTTTAAAAGTGATTTATACAAAATATATAAAGATAATAATTAACTAAAATTTTTGTATGAATAAAGATTCTTCTCTCTTATTTTAAATACAATGATCTTTTAACATAAGTGTTATTTTCATATGCTATAATCTAATAAACATTGCATGGGTTCAACTCTTACAATAAGTATTTTTTATTTAATTTTAAAGGGATATAAATAAAAAATAAAAGAAGCATATGAAACATTGCAATTCTAGAAACAATTTAAAATAAGAAAATAAGAAAAAATTTAAAATATTTATTTAAGTAGTTCAGTGTTTGGGTTATAATCCTTAGGATATAACATAAATAAAATATAAGTTTATACTTATAAAGTTTTAAAAAGAATTTTCTTACAAAATTACAATTAATAAATAAAATAATTTTATTTTTAATTAAGATTCCTCTTATAGTGACAGAATTTTATTTTAATTATTTATTTATTGTTTATTTAAGCAAATAGACAAGTTTTTTAAGTATTTAAGAGATAATAAATTCTTACTTTATAATTCAAATTAGCTATAAAAGAATGTTTAATATTTTAGAATATTATAAAAATATTTTTTCTAATGTTAAATTATCTATAAAAGAATAATATTTTATGATTGTATGATATAAAAATTTTTTATTGTTTGTTTTATTTTAATCAAATAATTTAATTAATAAATTATTATATTTAATTTCTGAATTAAACACAAAATTTTGTTAAATTAAGCAAAGATAACAGTCTTTTTATTTGAAATAGTATTTTATTAAATAGACTAAATATTTTATTTTCAGTTTTTTTGTAAAAATATTATTCTTCTAACTTAACAAAATAAACTGATAATCCAATATAAGGCTTCAATCCAAAATGGTTATCCTTAGAAACAAATACCCTTTTAATACTAAATACCTTTCCTACAATAATCTCGGTCATACAGCTCCACTTCTTCCCCTTTCTAATTGCCTCACTCTCTAAAAAATAATATCCACCATCATTAATTTGATAAAAAAATTCATCAGAAAAACAACCTTCTCCCTGTAAAAAATATTTTCTGCTAAAAGGATTAAACTCAAAATTCTTTAAATTGTCACCATCCTTGTAAATTACTTTGATAAACGTGCACCAATCATTCTTCTTGACTTCGTTTGTAAACAACCATTTTACTTCAAAAGTATCACAAATATAGTAATAACATATTGGACATAACCCAAAATGAATTTTGTTTGCTGATAAACAATCTTTACAGAATATGTGGCCACAGTTTGTTATTTGAGGGGAGTTATGAAATGACATACAGATTGGACAGTCTGAGGTTGTTGTTACGAAATAGAATTTTATTTGTTTGTCTTTTGGTGATGCACAAACTGGAATGAATTTGTCTATTTGAGACATTTTATTTTAATTGATAATTAAAATAATTGATTTATATTTTTAAATATTATTGAGTATTTTAAATTTATTTAAAATTAATTATTATTTAAAATTTTATTTTTAAATGATGAATAAATTTAGAAAATTATTCATTTTAATTAATAAAAAGTATTTTATGCCCATAAGATTTCATCCATAATGAAATCAAAAATAAGCTTTAAATTTTGATATAAACATTCAAAATTATAACTTGATATCATTCAAACATTAGAATGACTGAACATATTATTTTAATTATTTAAAATCTTTAATGATATCAAGTTATAGTAAATACTTTTCATTTGAATGCACCTTCAAAAGAGTTAATCTTAAGAAATATTTAAAATTAAAAATTTTACTTCTTTGTTTTTTTTCTAATCTGTTGTTTTAAACCCTTATTTTTCAATTAAAATTCTCGGTATTGGATAAGTAATGAATTGGTAGCATATTTTTTAAGAAATATGTTGGTTAATCTTTGGTTTAAGAAATGAAAAAATATGTCTGTTTTGAAAAAAGAGTTAGGTAATTTTTAAAAGCATTATTAGTATATGAAGTAAACCCTTTTATCAATTAATATTTTATTGATAAACAATAAAATGAGAAAAATATTAAAATAAAACTAATAAAAAGAACCCATCTATTTTTTTAATTAAGTTTAGTTTTACTAAAAGCAATAACAAATTCTTTGTATTTTTTGTATGTTCTAAGTAAATTGAATAACTATGTATTAATTCTTTTATTTGTCCTATTACAAGGCTTTACTAAATGTTTAAAGCTATTTTCAAGACTTTCTATAGTGTAAATATGGGTACCGGTTATAAGATCTACAAACTTTTTAGAATGATTGACGGTAAAGTGACGTGTTACAGATAATCACATACTGGAATATAGCACTTGAATCTATCACTATAAATTATGGACCCTGGTAATATTAGTTGTTTAAAAACAGGGGGTAAATTTGGTGGTTTGCCGCCACTTTAACAAAAAAAAAGATTTTTTTTGCTGTGTACGTTAAATGCCATCAACCATCCACCTACCATAAACGATATATACTCGGTAATATTTACGCTTGACAGGTTTGAGTTCGTCAATCTCAACAGTAACACCTTCTCCTTAAGTTTACATTTCATTATACTCAAAGGAATTTGCTCTAATTTGAGATACTCGTGTCAAGTGTTGCAGCTTCAGAGCCAATATCAAACGTCTCCGCTATTTCGACAGTATTAACCTTGTGCATATATAAATGACATTCATTAATACATTATTTACACCTACTTTATTATTGAAAAAAAAAGGTGTCTTTGAAGATAGAAGTTTTGATCGTGCCCTTTTTTTCTGTA